GAAATTTAATATTCAGCCATGAAATCTCATAGGCATTTGCTACTGGAAAGTTGAAAATGGTTGTGTGGGGGCATTTTGTTTTGTTCTGTTTTGTACAGCCTGTAAAATGGGGAAGATCTGGCAAAGAACAGTAAAGAGGATCTGCCACCAGAATAGGAGGTGAGGACTGTGGCCGCCAAGGACCACGTGGTCCCCAGGATATGAGGAATTCAAGAAGTAGGGAGAGGTCAGAGGGCTCACATGCTGCTGGGAGGCATAGTAGGAGAAGGACCAAGACCGTTCATTGTATCAGCAACTTGGGTTGCCAGTGACCTTGACCTGGGATAGTGAAGACAATTTTGATTTTATTATGTTAAAGAGAAAAGGGGAAAGGAGAATGTGGAGTCAGGATCACAGACAAATCTTTTAAGAGATTTAGCTGTAAGGGAGAACAGAGTAGGGGAACAATGGCTGAAGAAGACTGGTGGTCAAGAAAGGTTTTACTTTTTTCTTTAAAGATGCTCCACGTTTGCTACGGATGAGACTGACTTTGTAGAGGGGGAAATTGTTGAAATCAGGAGAAAGGGGGACCATTGCAGCAGCAGATTCTTGGAGGAGAGATACGATGAACACCTAAGTGGGAAGGTTGCCACGGCTTACGAGTGTAGACAATGGATCCATTGTATCAGGAAGGAATGTAGTGTATACAGGAACTGATACCTGTAAATTGGTAGATTTGCTCTCTTTTCCCAGTGAAATGAGAAATAAGACCACTCTGTGAGAATGTGGCAGAGTGGGGGGATTGGAGATTTGAGGGGTACGAGGAAGCTGGGGGCAGTGGTACTGGAGGGAGGGAGGGTGCATTGAGCTTGTCAGGGAAGACAGTAGGATTCCTGGGCAGAACTGAAGGTCCTCTTGAGGTTTGTTATCCTACACTCAAAGTGAGGCGTGTCAGCATTATGGTGTGTTCCTCCCCTCCCTCTTCTCTCTCCCCCCCCATCACACTCAGCTGCTCATGACGACTGTGAAGGAGGAAAGAGGCAGAGGGGTTGTTACAGTGATGGACCTAGAATCCATGGTGGACAGAGTATCCTGGACAGGTTAGGGGGTTTCTCTCTGACCAAATACCCTGCAATGCCTGGAAAGGGCTCAGGATACCATCAGAAACAAAACAAAAACAAAAACAAGAACAAAAACAAAAACACCACAACCCTAAAACAATCTTATCTGTAGCCAACCAGAAATGCTCTCAGTCCAGAGTGCATTTGTGTGCTTTTTGCTCCTCAAGTGGTCTCGGCCTTCACTGGCCAGCCTCACTTGGGCATCTGGCAGCTTCTTGCACCTGTTTTCCCCTCTCCTTTCCTTTCCAGTCCTCTTCCTGTGGTCTAAGATACACTCTTCTTGAGCCAGAAGGTCCTATTTCACACCTTCCCACCAAACATATGTGCCGGTGAGGCCCATTTCACCCTGGATCCTTGCATTTTGAGAGGTAAACACCAAAAAATGAAGCGATTCTCTTGTTTAAACGGATTGCTTCTTATGGTGTCCTTGCTTCTCTATGCTGGAACCCGCCCCTTTCCCAACCAAGGGTGAGGATGGGGGAATAGGAGGTGTGAAGGAAAGAGAACCTCTTCCCTGCACTGGTTAGATGCAGAAGTACTTTATTCTGTATATTATAAATTGGTGTATATTCTGTGAATTTTGACTAGAATTCATGTCTACCTCTGTGCTTCAGATTTTGACAAACAACTTGGTTTAAGGTGGGCTGTGTTTTTCTTGGTCTTTACTTTTTCAGGTGAGGAGGCCCATCCTTTTGGTTGACCCCACATGCAGCAAATCACTCAATACCTATCTCCCTCTGGGGACCATATGAAGCCAGTCTCCTGGCAGAAATTCTGGGAGTTCCTATAAGGGCAGGATACATATTTCTGCTTCTTCTCCAGTATTCATCTTTGAAGATGCCCAACAATTTATTCGCAATTTTGGATAGAAAACACTAGGTTTTTTGGGTGGGGGATGACCCATAGTGATGCTCCTTATTGGGCCATGACTCAGCCCTCAGAGCCCTATCTTTTGAATGATTTCAGATATTTTTTTATCCATCATTATTTAACCTGGCCTTCATCCGTCTAAAAGTCATGTCCTACTGAATAGGACTTACAGATTTGTAAGTGCTTCCTGAAGTCTAGCGCCATCCACTTGGTGCTTCTCATCCAGGAAGAAGTTAGTACCATTACCAAACTAGGTGGTTAAGAAAACTGACATCACTTGGAAGCTGGGAAGTATTGCCTAGGCTTGATCTTCTTACCTCTTCAAAACTACTAAAAATTGATCTGTGTTGATATACATAGAGATGCAAATTTTTATTCATAGGGAAGTCATTGCAAGGGTTTGGTTGTCAGTCTTCTCAGACCCCTCGCCCAGTTGCCCTGCTCTGGAGCATGCTCTGTGGTGGCCCCTGGCCTTAGCCATTGCCCTCTGGGGGTCTGAAGCCCAATAGAGTGCTGTAGAACTCCTTGCCCTGGTTTGTGGAGGTTCCATGGTAGAAGGAGCATAGTCTGTAGCATCAGGCTAACCTGGCTTGTTGACTGTGGTCTTCTGCCTACTGGCTATTTGGCCACAGTCCAGGTATCTAATTTCTTCCTGCCTCAATTTCCCTGGCTGTAAAATGAGAACCAATAATAGTACTATTCACAAGGTCGTTGTGACAAGTGAATACAATCACTCATTTAAAGTGCTTAGCATAGTGTCTGGTCCATATGTTCTCAAGTCATATATTTTTTTTAAATGTTTTATTTATTTCTAGGAGAGAGAGAGACAGCGTGAGCAGGGGAGGGTCAGAGAGAGAGGGAGTCACAGACTGAAACAGGCTCCAGGCTCTGAGCTGGCAGTCAGCACAGAGCCCGACGCGGGGCTCGAACCCACGAACCGCGAGATCATGACCTAAGTGAAAGTCAGACACTTAACCGACTAAGCCACCCAGGCGCCCCTCAAGTCATATTATTAATTAAAAAAAAAAAACTCTAATAAACCTCAGTCTTGCCCCCAGGAAGACCTGTGTTTTGGGGCATGATGCCTCTTAGCCCCATTGCCCATCTATAAAACAGAGCTGAGATGAGTGTGACATGAGATGGCTTCCTTCTGAAACTTATTAACAGAGCTCCTAACCCCTATCAGGGCACATTCCCCAAGCCATTTGTAGAAATGCTATCAGAAAGATGTATCTGGGCACCAACCAATTCAGATCTGCGTTCTTTCGAACAGACGTAGGAGAAAAGTAAAAATCCCTTTTAGGTACTCAGGAGGCAGCTCTTTCAACCCAAATCTTTGGTGTTCTTGGGTTTTTTTGGTTTGTTTGTTTGTTTTGTTTTGTTTTGTTTTAAGTACTCTCCACACCCAGCATGGAGCCTATTGCAGGGCTTGAACTCATGACTCTGAGATCAAGACTTGAGCTGAGACTAAGAGTCAGAAACTTAACCGACTGAGCCACCCAGGTGACCTCCAACTCAAATCTTTGGAAGGCAGAGATAAGGATGTTTCTTGCAGGAATGTGACTATAAATGTCCATCCTGTTCTAGCTACAAGGGCACATGGTCCCATGGTCAGCTTTACCTAAGTACAGCACCAGCAGATAAAACAGCAAAGGATCCTAGAAACAAAAGGCTGTCATGTTCACCCAGGACAGTAATTTCCTTAAAGCATGTGAAGAGAGCTTGATACTTACAAGAAGTTGGAAGCAAGAGAATACGGCCCAGTGGAACTGCTTCTGGAGGTGATCTGGAAAAAAACAATAAAGTGAAAAAAAGACTGGAAAAAGCCTTCTGTTGCTGCTTCCTGTTCCTCTTTCTTTTCTTGCTCCTCTTTCTCTTCACAAAGTCTCTCCAGGTGACTTAAGAATTGTGTTTGAGTAGCAAACCAGCTCACTCACAGTGGAGCATGGCTTTTTGATATTAGATGAACCTGGGTTCAGCTCTTGATTCCATTATTGGCCCCTCTGAGCCTCAGTTCTTGCATCTGTAAAATGGGGGTATCTCAGAGAGTCATCTTGAGAATGTGAGATTATCATGTATGAATATCATGTGGGATTATGTGGGTTAAGAGTCCAGCATAAGTGCCTGGCTCATCAAAGCTGCAGAAGAAACCCTAGTCCTCCTTCCCTCTTCCCCTCACTCAGTCTTGCTTACATCTATCTGTGAAACAGAGTTGATTCTCTACTTGAACAGAAAAGCTGTTTTTTTCTTTAACAGAAGAAGCTTTTCCTGCCATAAAACATTAGCAAGCAGGGATTGAGTTGGGGATTTTCTGGGAAGAACTCCATAAGAGCATGTAACATGTGTTCATTTGGTTTGTAGATATATTATAATTACTTTTCACTACACAAAACCCACTCGAGGTACCGTTAAGCAAAGGAATAATGCTGCTTTTGCTCCTTTTCTCTCAACCCTTCTTTCTCTCATGCAAATAAGAACATTAATCCTTTGTGGCTCCCTGGACTGTTGACTGTGGGAAAACACATCATCTAGCTTTTTTTTTTGTCCCTGAAAATAACATAATTGTCGAAATCTCATAACTTCTGAGTGCGATTCCAACCCTCTCATTGATAAGGCAATAATAACCCAAACAAACAACGTTAGCTGAACTAACAAATCTGAACATAGAGTGGAGGCATTATCTAGATGAGATGAATTGAAGTTCTCTACAAAGTTGTACAAATTCTTATAGGCAGAATAGACTTTGAATAGAGCTATTAGACCAAGCCATTAAGTAGCCTGGCTTCAAGTTAGGCTCCCAGAGATGTTTGGTCACAAGATTCAGACTTCTTAGATTTGGCTGCCTTGGTAGAAAATGTACACTGTCGTACTTGAGGTCAATTCAGTCTACTAGTGGCTCAGTCTTTGTTCCCTGATATTCCAGTGGATGACATGAAAGCTCCTTACACACTTCTCCTATAAGCCATATGAGCGACAGTTAGAAGACACACCTTAAGCACACGGGTCAGTATTCTCTGTTTTTATGTTCAGGTCACAGCCCCTTGGAGTCACCGACAAACCTGCCTTCTCCTCCTCCAGACCTTTTTGCGTGGAATCTGACCTGGATAATGAAAGATTCCTTCCCTTTCCTGTCTCATCGTAGTCGATATGGTAAGTATAATTTTTATAGTCATTTGTGATGTACAATCACTGTCTTATAATTAAGGAAGCTATGAGTTTTAGTATCCACTGGCAGACATTCCAGCCAGATCTGGCCTCTCCAGAGTGACAGCTGCATTCTTTATCCTAGATGAAGCCCACGGCTTTGCTGCTGCTGTATTCCTGCACCCCCACCCCACCCCCAGCCTTTATGGCATATAATGTTCCTGATGCACCTGCCCAATCATTAGATGCCACACTTATTTGCATTTTGACTCTGGTTTCTAGACATAGGGCTCTAACTCATGAGTGTTTCTGGTGATGGTGATCTCTTGAGAAAAGATAGGTCTTCTTGGGCCCCTCAGGTGACTCCCTGACATTTGAGTAGCTCCATAAGTTTCCTAGATACTAGTTCAGCTCATGTGACTCTGCACCCACTTCAGAAGTAAGGAGGCCAGGTCCTGTTCCATTTTCACAGATGTAGAAACTGAGCTTAATAAATTGCACAAAGTGAACTGTCTAACTACAAAACCAGAATTCTTCCCTTACATTCACTTTTCCTCCCAGGGGGGCCACCTACTCAGCCTGCTATATCCTGTCTTCAGAGGCCATATATATATATGGGATAGGATTCCTCATTCTCTGTGCTAACAGCTAACATTCTAACAGCTCGTAGGAGCTGGGCCTCTGAAAAGGAAGAGCAGTTTTCAAAAAGAGCTAATGTATCTTCAGGTGGACATTTTTTCTTCCCTTGAACTTCTCTAGAGTGAACCCCATTAGAACGGGTATTAAGCTGTATTTGTTCCCCACTTTATTGTATCAGATAGAGGATACTCATAAAAGCTTGTGCATGGTGAATGAATACAAAAGGCTTCTGGGGATGGAACTTACTCATGAGGTCTGCTTCAATTAAGTATTTATGAACCTGGTATAGCAGTGAGTTCTAGATTCCCTTCTGGGCATATTTACCCATACTGATATTCAGTCTCTGCCATTAGACCTGAACTTTTTAAAATGCACCTAACAGAGATCTTCCACTCACTGCTATCCTTCATGAATAAACGCAGCTAATCTTGATTCATATTAACTATACCTTTCATTTCAAACTTAAAAAAATAAATGCATCAAAAACCCTAAAGCAGTTTAGGATTATACTCTACTGGGATGTTTCCTGCTGCTTCTAAGCCTCCCTAGTGGGAGAGGAAGATCAGTAGTTGTCAGAAGATTCCAGATAAGAATTACTTCTTGATTTTATTTAAGCCAGACATTGAGTGTCATTTTGTGATAAGGGCAAGTGTCTATAAATAATTGAAATCTGGTCCTTTGTATCGTTACAGCTTTGTAACCAGATTTGCGATACAACCGGTCTTTGGATAACATTTTGAATTTGCTCTCAAAGTCGTTCAGTATCTCTGCAGGATGACAACTTTTATAAAATGCAGAATGTCCAAAAAAGGCAGGTCTACCTCCTGCATGACACAGAGGGCATTGCATTTGTTCTTTGTAGCACATCCAGAAAGAGATTGTAGGTTGAAAGGAGAACACCACTGGAGTTTATTAAGCTGTTCCCTACCACTGCTTGGCCCTGATACACCTACTTTCTCCAAGCCTCACCCTTCTTATCTATAAAATGAGGTAGAATGACATGCTGCCTTGGAAAAAGAATAGATCAAGAGTATTCCCAAGAGCCTTTTCAAACTCTCCTTATGGCCTAGTATCCTCATGAATTGCCACCATCTAGGCAGAGGAGAGGACCCAAACCATTGGCCAGACATTGCCCAAATGCCGGATGAAGGTGCCAAAGGCAGTGCCAGTATTGCTGTTGATTACAAGGTGGGGAGAACTGATTCTTGATTAGTGGCCCCTTGACTGAGTGCACTGGTAATTTCAGAGCCTTGCATCTTACTATATTTAATTTAGCTGAGGAAAAGGTTCATGCCTCCACCATCACTGCTATGTGCCTGGTCTAGTGCCAGATGGGCAGAGGGGATACAAATACAAATATAGGTAAGACTTATTCCTTCCCTCTCAGGGCTCATAGGCCAGAGAAATAATTCCATAGGCAGCTAGGCTCATTGCCACAGTGAGTACCTCTGGGGGCTGGTCCCGGAGCACAGATGTTGAAGACTCCTCCGAAACCCATTACAGAGCAAACTGAAGGCCAAGACTCCTGTCCCCTTAAGGATGTTTGTGGGGGCCCAGCCCACATGTCTGTATGAACCAGAGAGGCCAGCAGGCTCACTGGTGATAAATCCGTACCTTTCAACTGCCGTGAAAGACATTTTAAGAAATGTTAACAACTTCATTAATTTTAAGGCCTCAAACTTGGGCAGAGAAATTTGACTGGAAAATTGCCGCCTGAAGGGATAGTTCTTCAGACAGTGAGAAGTAACCAAGTCTCAGCAAGTCAATGTGGGTGTTTGAGTGGCAGAGCCTCGTGCCTGTGTCCTGGGAAGGAGGCGGGAGGGCATGTTCTGGAGTGGGGTGCACAAGGGGGCAACGAGAGGGGCCAGCATCAACCTGCCCACAGGCATCATGACGGACAGCCGCAGGCCGGCCCTCTCAGGCAGGTGCTCTGGTCCTGAATTGAATGTGGCTTTCTTTTCAATGGTGTTTTATGAGAATAGATGAGGTGGAGAGAGGCTAACAAGATTTACTCACCCCCGGCCTGTAATTATCTGCTTGAGGAAAAAGTTTGACCTACCTTTTTGAAGTCTTCCCATATTTCTTCTAATTTACGTTGAAGCCTTTTATGTCACTTAAAATATATTTTCTTCAGTGGTATTTGGTATCTGATTCCAGCTCTTTCTCGCGTCTTGTCCTGAAGGATGGCAGCCCGCTGATTTCATCATTGACAACCAGAGAACTGCACATTCCTCCCCCAAGGCTTGGGAGGGGGGAGGCATCTAAAGAAATTCCTTTTCCCCCTTTTATCATCAGCTCTGATGCCTTAAGATTATTTATAGGTTTGGGCAGAGGACTGTGCTCTCACTGCCCACCCAGATAAAAGTCAGATTTGACCAGTAGCTCCTGGTGCTAAGAGATGTGGCTGTCATCACATTGAGTCCTAGAGCCATGGATGCAAGTGGTACCCTGCCCACTGTAGCTCAGGTTTGTGCCCACTCTGGGTGTGTGAAGAATCAGATCAACATGTAAAAGGTAATATAATCAAAGGTTCTGCCCCAGGTGAAGAGGAGAAAGAAAATTCGTATTTATTGAAAAACAAAAATGTTGATACTTTGCAAAACTCTTTCACACCCTTTTTCTCACATAAGCCTATTATCAAATTATTTAATATCCCATGTAAATTGAGGGCCAAAGATGTTTATTAACATATTCTCCTTATGGAACAGAACAGCAGTTAGAAAAGATTGAACCCAGATTGTCTGACTCCAAGTCGAGTGCTCCTTCTACTACAACACAAAGTGAATTCCAAGATGAAGTCTTCCTTCCATGGAGAGGGCTCTCACTTCCTGGTGTTTGGACTGAATGACTAGTCTCATACCCAAGACCTAGGCAGCTGTAGAGCCAAGACTTGATATCCCCATATTGAGACTATTCCAGGCAAGTCAGCGAATTCATCTCTTCCCATACATGGTCACTGTGGGCAGTCTTGTGTACCCCACCATAGACTGTGGTCCCTGTTATGGGCTGAACTGTGTTTCCCCCAAAAGAAATGTTGAAGTCCTAACCCCTAGTGTCTATGAATTTGACCGTATTTGGAAATAGAGTTTTTGCAGCTATAATCAACTTGGGTCCATACTACATTAGAGTAGGCCTTAATCCAATATAACCAGTGTCCTTTTGAGAAAAAAGAGACACAGACACACAGGATGGACACCATGTAATGAGGGAGGCAGAGATTACAGTGATGTATCTACAAGCCAAAGAATGGCAAGATTTGGCAGCAACCATCAAAAGCTGGGGAAAAAGCATGAGACAGATTCTCCCTTAGAGCTATCAGAGAGAGAATAGCCCTTACGATGCCTTGATTTTGGACCCCTGGTCTCCAGAGCTGTGAGAGAATCAATTACCTCATTATTATTTTTTTTTACAAATAGTTTATTGTCAAATTGGTTTCCATATAACACCCAGTGCTCATCCCCACAAGTGCCCTCCTCCATGCCCATCTCCTTCCTCCCCCCCACACCCATGAATCCTCAGTTTGTTCTCAGCATTCAAGAGTCTCTCATAGTTTGCCTCTCTCCCCCTCCCCCACTATTTCCTCCCTTCTTCTCCTCCGCGGTCCTCCATTAAGTTCCACCTAATCCTCCTATACATGCAAATATATATTATTTGTCCTTCTCTGCCTGACTTATTTCGCTCAGCATAACACCCTCAAGGTCCATTCATGTTGCTACACATGGCCAGATTTCATTCTTTCTCATCGCCATGTAGTATTCCATCATATAGATAAACCATATCTTCTTGATCCATTCGTCTGTTGATGGACATTTAGGCTCTGTCCATGCTTTGGCTATTGTTGAGAGTGCTGCTATGAACATTGGGGTCCATGTGCCCCTATGCATCAGCACTCCTGTATCCCTTGGGTAAATTCTTAGCAGTGCTATTGCTGGGTCCTAGGGGAGTTCTATTGTTAGTTTCCTGAGGAACCTCCACAATGTTTTCCAGAGGAGCTGCACCAGTTTACATTCCCACCAACAATGTAGAAGGGTGCCCGTTTCTCCACATCCTCGCCAGCATCTAGAGTTCTCTGATTTGTTCATTTTAGCCACTCTGACTGGCGTGAGGTGGTATCTCAGTGTGGTTTTGATTTTCAGTTACTATTATTTTAAGTCACCCAGTTTGCTGTACTTTGTTTTGACAGCCCTGATAAAGTAATACAGTCCTTTGCCCCTCTAATCCTCCAATGTCCAGAACATTGATTCCTAGAAAAGAAAGATTCCTCCTAACACCCAACATCAGGGTACCACAAAGCCATTGTTGGACTTTAAATAAAAGTTCTATTACAACTTTGTGTGCTTTAAGCCCATGGGGACCCATCCAATTTA